TGAGGTGGCAGTGAGGGGATGAGGTGGCAGTGAGGGGATGAGGTGGCAGTGAGGGGATGAGGTGGCAGTGAGGGGATGAGGTGGCAGTGAGGGGATGAGGTGGCAGCGAGGGGATGAGGTGGCAGTGAGGGGATGAGGTGGCAGTGAGGGGATGAGGTGGCAGTGAGGGGATGAGGTGGCAGTGAGGGGATGAGGTGGCAGTGAGGGGATGAGGTGGCAGTGAAGGGATGAGGTGGCAGTGAGGGGATGAGGTGGCAGTGAGGGGATGAGGTGGCAGTGAGGGGATGAGGTGGCAGTGAGGGGATGAGGTGGCAGTGAGGGGATGAGGTGGCAGTGAGGGGATGAGGTGGCAGTGAGGGGATGAGGTGGCAGTGAGGGGATGAGGTGGCAGTGAGGGGATGAGGTGGCAGTGAGGGGATGAGGTGGCAGTGAGGGGATGAGGTGGCAGTGAGGGGATGAGGTGGCAGTGAGGGGATGCAGAGCAATTGAAAGGTGAGACTGCAGGAGGAGGACGCAGCACTGACAGCACGAAGTGTTTGACGTTGCGCAGCGAGTACTTGCCGATGCTCCCAGGCAGGTACCCCGTCAGCGCGTTGCTCGACAGGTTGCTGCCCTCCCCACATGCATGGGGGGTGGGGGTTGGGGCGAGTAAATTAAAATGCTTGAGAAGATGCGTGGGAGGCAGAAAGGGGTGGATGGAGCATGGTGTATGCGAGGTGCATGGAGCGTGGAGCATGGTACAAGGGCTAGCAGGTGCAAGCAGAGGTGAGGGGTGGGCGGGATGGGGCTCACAGAAAGGGCGAGAGCTCAACGAAGGAGCACTCCTTGTAGATCTGCGGGATGTCCCCCGTCAGGCCGTTGTTTGACAGATCGCTGCACAGCAGGGCGGGCAGGGGCAGACCGGGTAGGTGAGGGAGAGGAGAAGAGAGGCGTGGCAGGGAGGAGAGCAGGCCACGACCCTTGATGTGAGGGGCCGGAGGAGAATCAAGGTTTTTAGCGTGGGATTTGCATGGCGTGAAGGAACAACGAGTGCAGGATAGCAGTGGTGGTAGGGACAGGCAAGGGCGTTACATGTAGTAGAGCGAGGGCGTTACATGTAATAGAGCGAGGGCGTTACATGTAATAGAGCGAGGGCGTTACATGTAGTAGAGCGAGGGCGTGGTCTCAATGGACTGGGGGATGGTCCCCGTGAGCTTGTTGCTCTGTACATCGCTGTGGTGGGGAGGGATGGATGCAGGGAGGGGGGAGAGAGACGAGTGAGGAGGAGGAAGAGAGGACGACGGTGCCAACAACGCAAGCAGCTGAAGCTGAAACCAAATGCTAGCCATTGCTCACATCCATACTGCTAAACATCCATGCCTCCTGTCAAAGCCCCTGCCTTGGCCTCACAGGTACTGCAGCGATTTGGCGGTTGTGAAGTTATCCGGAATGGGCCCCTCCAGCTGATTGCCAAACAGAATGCTGCCATTGGGCGGGGAAAAGAGGGTGACGATGGCGGGTGGGGGAGGGTGGGGGGGAAGGAGGATGGAGTCATATTAAAAACCAATAGAGACACGTTACACTGTAACGAGGACAGGGACAGGGTGCAAAACGGAATGGATACAAAGTGCAAGAGGTCGAGGAGGAGGACGAGGAGGAGGAGGAGGAGGAGGAGGAGGAGGAGGAGGAGGAGGAGGAGGAGGAGGAGGAGGAGGAGGAGGAGGAGGAGGAGGGGAGGGGAGGGCGCTCACAGGTTGACGAGGGCAGGCGAGGCGATGAGAGCTGGGGGGATGGCGCCTGAGAGCGAGTTGGTGGAGAGGTCTCTGGTGGGGTGCCGTGTGGGAGGCACCGCGAGGAGAGGGGAGGAGAGGAGAGAGAGGAGATGAGAGGAGAGGAGAGGGGTCTGCATAAGAGCAAGTGAGCAGAGCGAGCAGGTGAGCATCAATATGTAGTGGCGACGGTGGCTCTCATAAGATGAAACAGGGGCTGTCATGCGAAAGGGGGAAAAAGGGCCATGCGACTCACATGTGGAAGAAGGGGCGAGAGGTGAGCTCCTCAGGGATCTCCCCCGTGAGGCTGTTCATTGACAGGTCACTGCACGGCGGGGGGGATGTGTTGGGAGTGGTGAGGATGGAGGGGGGGAACATGGGGTGGGTAATGGTTACAGGCAAGGCGGGAGTTGGCGCTTCATGTGAATCCTTCAGAGAAGGAACCAGCAAACGTGAAGGCACACACATATGAGCTGAAACCACGCGCACACACACCCCTCCAGCCACCCTGCATGAGTTGCAACCATGCCCCCCCCGTTTTTTGAATGCCTTCCATGTAGCCCCCCTTCGTTGCCACTCCACCACTCACACGCGCAGCAGCGAGGGCATGCGCAGCAGGTGCAGGTCACTGAGGCGGCCTGACAGCCCCACGCGCTGCAGTGTGCTGCTCCGGGGAGACGCAGGGTGGGGGGAGGAGACAAGGAGCGTCAGCGTGGTGGGTCGAACAGCAAAAAAGGAACTCAAGGTGTGGCAGAAAATCTCAGCTGGTAGGGTGGGCATAAGAGCAGAGAGGGTGTGTGGGGGGGAGGCTCACAGGTCCTGCAGGCGGGTCATGTTGGCGAGGGCGAGCTGGCTGGCCCGGTAGTTGAGCGCCGTTGACATGAGTGCGCTGGGGGCAGCAAGGAGCGGAGAGAAGGGGGGGACATGGTTGGGAGGAACGTGGAGCACATGAGAAGCATGATGGGGCACGGGACGAAGATGTGCAAAATGGGTTGGGCACATGAGGTAGATAGCAGGGATGGGGGGAGGTGGGAGGAAGAGGGGGGGGGGAGAAAAGGAGGGGTAGGGATGGTGGGAGGCTCACAGTTGCTTGAGCTGCGTGAGGCCGTTGATGATTGGCAGCAGTGCCGTGGCGTTGAAACTGACCTGCCCCAACACCCTGTTCATCATGGGGGACACGCATACATACACACACACGCACAAGCACATGCACATGCACACACACATGCACACGCACACGCACATGCACATGCACACGCACATTCATACACACATGCACACACACACGCACACATGAGGCCTTCAAATCGCTGATAGACATGCACGGGCTTGCAACGGATAAGGATGGTTCGAGTGAGCTCACAGCGACTCGAGGTTGGGGAGGCGCAGAACAGCAGGCGAGAGCGACCCCTCCAGGCCCGCACGCAGTGAGCTGCAGGGCGGAGAGGGAGGGGGAGGTGCAGGGAGGTCGAACGAGGTGAGAATGGCTGATATGCAGGTACTGGCATTTGAGGCATGGAGGTGCCAGGCTGGCATAGGTGCCAGGCTGGCATACATGGAGGTGCCAGGCTGGCATAGGTGCCAGGCTGGCATACATGGAGGTGCCAGGCTGGCATACATGGAGGTGCCAGGCTGGCATATATGGAGGTGCCAGGGTGGCATACATGGAGGTGACGGTGGCGGCGCCGGTGGTGGAGATGTTGCAGGTGATCTCGGGCGACCACCCCAGCGGGCCGCACGGGTCAAACTCGTCCGCCCAGTGCGGCAGCCACTCTATCGCGTTCGATATGCCCGCCCTCACCGCCCTCAGCACCTCCACTGATATGCATGCACATGGGAACATGGTGGAGGGGAGGGGGCAGGGGAGGGGGCAGGGGAGGGGGGGGGGGGGGGGGGGGGGGGGGGGGAAGGGGGGGCGGGGGAAGGGGGGAGGGGGAAAAGTTGAGGAGAGAGTGACAGGTGGATGGGACAAAAGGAGGTTATGTAGAGGCGGCACGATGGGATTGATACCCACGAGGATAGCACAGGAGATAGGCTAGCTGAGATGAAGCGATGGTTCAGGAAACGACACACGAGGAGAAAGCACACACGGAGGTAACAACACAGGACAAGGGAGACAGCAGGAGCAGAGGCCAAGAGCAGCAGAGCGGCGGCGGCACAGGCCGCTCTCGGGGGTTGGCGCGCGGGGGTTGGCGCACCTTCCGCCGGGTCAGTGACGATGGGTCCACTGATCGCACTCCGCTGCACGTCCACCGCCGCGCATGGCGGCGGCAGCACAGCAAGCGCCACGGCCAGCACGAGCGGCAAGAGATGGTGCACCGCCACGACGCCATGGGCGCCTGCGTTGGTCCGAGTCATGACTGAGTCGCTTCACAGACAGTTTCTGTCTCTTCACAGCCTCCCTAGCTTACTGTGATGGCGCTCGCGATTAGTGGGGCGATGATACGCACGAGAAGCCACGTGATTTTGACCAACTTCTTGTTTCAGACGGAGTTTATTACTTTTTTTCCTAGTACGACTCGTGAGGTGTAAGGGCAAGCATGGAATGGCCAACGGCAGCGTGGCGCGCATGCAAGCAGAAGGGAGGGGGGCAACCCGTAGCAGGTCAACGTGCTGGTGCCAAGGTAAGGCTTTTCTGCTGTTACAGCCGTGGTTAGACAACTTCCATTCTGGAAAGAAGTTACTGGGGCAACCTGCCGCGACGTTCCTACTATCAGAGTATCTCGCGGCGCAACAGCCGCTGTGGAATGCCACCATGGTGCCTGCCAAGAGGGCTGCAAAGGAGTGCCAGCCGAACCGCATTGGAGCTGGCGGATGTCAGGGCAGGGGCGGAGGGTGCGGGTAATTCCAACCGTCGCCTGCTTGGCGGTTGCGTTTAGCGACAAGTACCCCACAGTTGGAAGAAACACAACCGTTGCTGGTTTACGCGTTTCAAGATGCCGCAGCAAGCAAAACTTGCAAAAACAAGTCTTAGCGCGGCTACAGAGAAACTTGAATCAGAGTGTTCAAACGCAAACATTTTCCTAGCTGCTATAATTACAATCATATGCTAACACTTCAACAACGTGCGTTGGAACCTTATTATGACATTACTATGTACGTAATTATCCACTTATGTTACGTAATATGATAAAATTTCTAAACGAAGCAGTATAATGCATGGGTGCTGCCTTGTTAATTTGGTGGTAAGTTTCACAAAAGCACAAATCAGCCTATATTTCTTTAACGAGGATAACTCAGTCTAGTATCAAATTAGAGAGCACGGATTAGCAGCAGGGACTCTACAGCAAGCGAGTCATCATCAGCCAGCGATTGTGCCTCCACCACACTCGCCACGTGCGTCGATGCAGCCTGTGCGGAGGACGGGTTCGTCGGGAGAGCGAGGGGCAATCCTTTAGACGGAGGCGCTAAGGTGAGGAAGGTGTGGAGGGGCGATTGTGGGGCACCGTTGCCGCAATTCACGCGCGCCGTCGTCTCATGGGAAGGTCGGACGGCCGCAACTTGTTCCGGAAAGGACGAGGGGGAGGCGGAAGGCGGAAGATACGGGGCGCCGGCGGGAGCTGCGGCAGCGCCACTGGTACAGGTATCGCGGGCGGTGAGCTGAGTAGCGGGTTTGCTGGTGACGGACTGGTTGCGCTCGAGAGGCCAGGGCTCCTTGGCGGGTTGCGATAAGCACCCCGACGACAGAGGTAGAAGCGGGGGAAGCATGTGCGACACCTGCGGGCTGCCCGTTGTGCCGTCGTCGCTGCACGCGCTGAGCGACTCGCGCGGCGCGGCACGGCACGTCGCTGGCGTGCTTCCGGGCCACTCGGCGGAGGCGTGCGCTGGCGGGAACGCCTGGGCTGAGGGCGGTGCATGCATCGTGGAAACGGAAGCGACGGCAGTGGGAGCTTGTGTGACGGCTGCTGCAGCACCGCTGTTGCCCAGGGGAGCCTGCGACGCCGCGGCCAACGATGAGGGTGGCGCCCAAGCTACGGGACTGCTGCTTGTCGTAGGCGATACGGCAGCGAGCTGCGACGGAGGGCTCGGGCAAGTGGACGACCAACTGGCGTAGCTTCCGGCTTGCGCCGCTGCACCCGTGGTGGGCTGAAACGGCCAATTGGGGCCAGCGCTGCTGCTGGTGGGCGCACACGGCAGCGCTTGCCCCGCTGCAGCACCTTGACTCGCACTAGTAGGCGCGGGAACGGACTGCTGCAGCACTGGCGCCACGCTGGGCGCTAGCAGCCCGAGTTTCGCTGCAGTGCTGCCTGGCGACGGCGCGAGCAGGCGGCGCGGAATGCCGTCGACGACGATGTCGGGCGCCGTGTGCATGAGGCGGCCCAGCGCCGTGCCGTGCAGCGCCTGCATGCCGCGCGCGAACGCTAACGGGTCGTAGCCCGCCCGCGGAGCCAGCAGGGGCGGCGGAGGAGTCGTGGAGAAGGTCAGTGGAGCAGAATTGTGAGCGGGAGGTGATGACAATGGTGCGCGGGGTGTAGGTTGCGCCGCTAACAGAGAGTCAAGCGCGGACCCACTCGCCGTTGTGGATTCCTGTTTCTGGCGTGCTTCTTCATGGAATGCCGGGGCCGTTGCCTTCGCGAAAGCTAGAGGGATGCCGCGAAGTTTCGCGGCGCCTTGAGCCAGCGACGAGGTGAACGAGGAGATGGGAGAGGGAGTACGAGGAGCAAGCACGGCACTCCCTTGGCCAGCCGGTGGCACCGGTACCTGAGGCGATGGCGTCACGAGGTGCTTCCGCGGGAACTCCTGTCCGGACAGCCCGCTATCGGGAACGGACCGCTTTTTGCTGCAGCCGCCCGCTCCTGGGCGCGGTAGAATGGCGCGAAGGCGCGTCCTACTAGGTTCTGCTATCACCTTCCCTGCGCATGCTGAGGAATTGCCTTGCGTAGGGCACGACGGGTCCATAGATTGAGGCTGGGAAGGAAAAGACGGGGACACTCCGCTGACGATGTTTTGATGTAAGACAACTGCTGCCATGACTAAGTTTCAAGTTTCCTCGCAAATAGCTTCAAAATAAATGCTAAATGAGTGGATGATGGCGCCCGCTTAAGACGACGCGGAGTGGCTGATCAGCTGGTACCGACAGAAAGAAGGAACGCAGAGTGGTGCCACGCGATGAGATGCAGCAGCTCTGTTCCAATCTGCGCAACGACTCGATTTTATTTTCAAAAGTTTATTGGCGTTGTTTCATGCGCGCCTCATATTTTAGCTTTCACTGACTGCCGTTCGAATTCACCTGTCTGTGCCACATGTCTGTTCTGTTGCTTGCGCTTGCCTCTGCCAGCTGATTCCAAGGAAAAATGAGGAGCATGGCACAATCTGCTGAGACGCGTCGCGTTACGGACCGAGTCGCTCGCTCTCCTCTGATCGTGCTTGCCACCGTGGACGCTGACGCTGCTGTCATTTCAAACGCATCGCAGAACTGACGGTGACAGCCACGCGAAACATTGCGACGACCTACGAGGCCTCGGCTTCGCGAGCGCACCAATCTACGAGTGTCGCCCCCAACCAGGTCACGCCTGGAGAGATGGTCTTGCAGACGGTTCTGGCTCCAGCACGGCGCAGAGAGTCGTCGGCCTGTAAACGGAATCGTGCAACTTGAACCAGACCTTTCGCAACTGACCACATGGGACTGACACTGGCGCTTCGGTTAAAAATGCGAAACAACAGGGTGTAACGTTGCTGGCCAGCGACGAAGTTTGGCAACGATCACTTACAGATTCCGTGTGAGCGTTTCAGTACTGAAAGGTTCATACCACAATCATGGTGGATCAAAGGTGTTGGCTTTTAGATGTGCCACTGCTCAAATCGGTGAGTAGCGGTTGGACGAGGTGAAAGAAACATCCATCATAAATGCAACAACTGAACGGAAATCCATCATCCACGCTTATGCATGTAAGGACCATTCCTGAACTATCTGATCTCATAATTTATCGTGACAATAAATATCAATCACTGTGCTTCTTATGGGGTTTCCTAAGTATGAGGCTATGATCATGTGTACATTCACTTGGGAATGCCTTCTTCCTATTTGCTGTTTGCATCACCACCTCCAACATTTTCCTCAGCCACTTGATTCTCACCTTCGTCTCCTGCTGCTTCTACAGCTGTGGCTTCTTTCTTCTCACCGCCCTCCTCCTCCTCCTCGCCGCCTTGGCTCTCTGAAGTCCTGCCTCCCCCGCCCAGCGACCTCAGTGCACGGTACACCTTACCCCGTTTCGCACTCCCCTTCTCCTTATCCTTGGGCTCAAACACCACGCGCCCCCCCTTGCCACTGCTAATCCTTTTGTCTGGGCTTGCCTGCTTGCCCCTGCCAGGCCCGTGCTCCGCCGACCCGTGCTCGCTGCCCGAGCCTTTTCCCACCGACCCGTCCCCCCCGCGGGGATGCGTGCCGGAACCGGCCTCGTTGGAGGCCTGGGCGCGCAGGGAGCGCAGGAGCGCGCCGATGCGCTTGGTGCGGATGGCCTGCCGCATCACGTCGATGGGCAGCTTGAGGCGGCGCCGCAGCACCGACCGGTACCACACCTGGATGGTCGTGGCTGCCCGCATGCGCCGGTTCAACGAGCACAGGCTGGTGGGGGGGAGACACGCAGAGGGGGGTGGGGGGAGGGAGTGGGGGAGCCAAGAGTGGAGGCAGACAGAGTGAGGCTAGGCGGGATGAGGAGACATTACTCTGGCGGATGGCAACGTGGTACAGCGTGTGAGAGCGTATGTGTGTGTGTGCATGTGAGTGGGGCCGGGGTGGGGCTGGGGCGTACTTGAGGGCGTGCTGCACTTGGTCGGACTGCATGACGGTGAAGAACTGAGTGCACACGAAGTCAATGTCGGCTGCTTCCAGTGAGAAGCCCTCGACGGGGCCGATGCAGCAGAAGGTGCGCTCCGACTTGGGCAGCATCTCCGGCATCACCGCCGACCCCACCTTCACATCGCCTGCCACCCAACCGCAGGACGGTACGGCCGGCAAGGAAAGGGGGACAGGGTTTAAGGGAGATGCAGCACGAAGCGATGAGTGGCAGCTGTGGTAGTGCATGGCAGCTGTGGTAGTGCATGGCATGGCAGCAGTTGGAGTGGCCGTGCAGCAGTAAACGGGGTGAGAGCGGGCCGGACAGGAGTGGGTGGAGGGGGACTCACGGCGGAGGAGAGGGGGACTCACGGCGAAGGGAGCGGCGGGAGCTTTGTTTCTTGGAGACCTCGGCGTACTTCTCAATGAAGTAGACCAGCAGCTCCTCGCCCACAAACTCGCCCTTCCCCAGCAGCACCTCCTCGTAGAACCCCGTGCGCCCGCCATTGGTGGTGGAGCTCTGCAGCGTGCCGCGCAGCACGAAGAACATGCGCGACACGGGCGAGCCCTCGCGCAGCACCACCGTGCCGTCGATGTACAGGCGCTGCTTCAGCCGCTCGCAGATGGCGTCCAGCACCTGCTCCGGCATGCCCTTGAGCAGCACACAGTGCTGCGCGTGGGCGCACGCAGGGAAGGGGGGGGGCATTGGGGGGGGGGGGGGGGGGGGATTGGGGGGGGGGGGGGGGGCATTGGGGGGGGCATTGGGGGGGGCATTGGGGGGGGGATTGGGGGGGGGGGCATTGTTGGATGGGTTCAGCCGCTCGCAGATGGCGTCCAGCACCTGCTCCGGCATGCCCTTGAGCAGCACACAGTGCTGCGCGTGGGCGCAGGAGGAGGGGGGGGGAGCGGGATGGGGGGGCGGGTCAGGCAGGGAGTGAGGGAGGCATGAGGCGATGGGAGGGAGTTGAGGAGCAGGGAGGCATAACGTGGAAGGTTGGACGGGGAGGAGGAGGCGCGGCGGGGTGGATTGAATGGACAGGAGCTGAACCTACTGGGTGATGAGCTCGTAGGAGAGGTGGCTTACCTGGGTGATGAGCTCGTAGGAGAGGTGGCTTACCTGGGTGATGAGCTCGTAGGAGAGGTGGCTTACCTGGGTGATGAGCTCGTAGGAGAGGTGGCGGCGCACGTCCCTCTGAATGTCCTCCGACAGTGACGTCATGACCTCCTCCTCGTCCACGCCCTGGTTCACCGTCCACACGTACCGCTCCAAGTCCCGCACCCGCCTGCTCCCCCCCGCACACGCGACGCGAGGCGCGGTGCGGTCGGGCGGGGTGGGAGTGGGGAGGGGGAGTTGAGAGAGGGGAGGTGCGTGGAGGGGAGAGAGAAGAGCAACAGGAAGAGATGATGGATTGGACGCGTGAGAGATAAGGGATGGGAAGGAATGGGCGATGGAAAGGAGAGGAGTGCGGAGGGGTGAGGAGAGAGGGATAGTGGGGAGGGGTGAGGGGCGAGAGATGAGGGCGGAGGATTGAGAAGAGGTGGCGGAGGGCGAGCAGCAGTGTGAGAGGGCGGTGGAGTGGAGCACATGGCCCCAGGGCGGTCAAGGGCGCAGGCACAGCCTGGAAGGACAAGACGCTGCACTCATGAGTCATGCACCCTCGCAGTGCGCATCAAACAAACGCTGCCGTCCCAAGACCGCACCCTCGCATGAGGGTGGGTGGGTGGGCGCGCATGCAGAGAGAGACGCACCTCTGCAGCTCGCGGGGAATGTCTCGCTGCGACATCCACTGCTCCAAGTCCCTCAGATGCAGCCGGTGCTCAAACGACCTGCCATGTGCCGCCCATTCTCCCCCCCCCTCCCCCCCACCGAACACACACAGGCGCACACGCAGAGACGCAGACACGGGATGAGAAGTGAAAAGGCATCCCGTGGGTGGCTGACTCGCGGCCTGCTACACTCAGTGCGCGTGTGCTGGTGCAACTGCCAGTTACCGGCGGGTGAGGGACTGAGCTTCGGGTGAGGGACTGAGCTTCGGGTGAGGGACTGAGCTTCGGGTGAGGGACTGAGCGACGGGTGAGGGACTGAGCGGCGGGTGAAGGACTGAGCGGCGGGTGAGGGACTGACCGGCAAGTGAGGGACTGACCTGCGGCTGAGGGACTGACCTGCGGCTGAGGGACTGACCTGCGGCTGAGGGACTGACCTGCGGCTGAGGGACTGACCTGCGGCTGAGGGACTGACCTGCGGCTGAGGGACTGACCTGCGGCTGAGGGACTGACCTGCGGCTGAGGGACTGACCTGCGGCTGAGGGACTGACCTGCGGCTGAGGGACTGACCTGCGGCTGAGGGACTGACCTGCGGCTGAGGGACTGACCTGCGGCTGAGGGACTGACCTGCGGCTGAGGGACTGACCTGCGGCTGAGGGACTGACCTGCGGCTGAGGGACTGACCTGCGGCTGAGGGACTGACCTGCGGCTGAGGGACTGACCTGCGGCTGAGGGACTGACCTGCGGCTGAGGGACTGACCTGCGGCTGAGGGACTGACCTGCGGCTGAGGGACTGACCTGCGGCTGAGGGACTGACCTGCGGCTGAGGGACTGACCTGCGGCTGAGGGACTGACCTGCGGCTGAGGGACTGACCTGCGGCTGAGGGACTGACCTGCGGCTGAGGGACTGACCTGCGGCTGAGGGACTGACCTGCGGCTGAGGGACTGACCTGCGGCTGAGGGACTGACCTGCGGCTGAGGGACTGACCTGCGGCTGAGGGACTGACCTGCGGCTGAGGGACTGACCTGCGGCTGAGGGACTGACCTGCGGCTGAGGGACTGCCCTGCGGCTGAGGGACTGACCTGCGGCTGAGGGACTGACCTGCGGCTGAGGGACTGACCTGCGGCTGAGGGACTGACCTGCGGCTGAGGGACTGACCTGCGGCTGAGGGACTGACCTGCGGCTGAGGGACTGACCTGCGGCTGAGGGACTGACCTGCGGCTGAGGGACTGACCTGCGGCTGAGGGACTGACCTGCGGCTGAGGGACTGACCTGCGGCTGAGGGACTGACCTGCGGCTGAGGGACTGACCTGCGGCTGAGGGACTGACCTGCGGCTGAGGGACTGACCTGCGGCTGAGGGACTGACCTGCGGCTGAGGGACTGCCCTGCGGCTGAGGGACTGACCTGCGGCTGAGGGACTGACCTGCGGCTGAGGGACTGCCCTGCGGCTGAGGGACTGACCTGCGGCTGAGGGACTGACCTGCGGCTGAGGGACTGACCTGCGGCTGAGGGACTGACCTGCGGCTGAGGGACTGACCTGCGGCTGAGGGACTGACCTGCGGCTGAGGGACTGCCCTGCGGCTGAGGGACTGACCTGCGGCTGAGGGACTGACCTGCGGCTGAGGGACTGACCTGCGGCTGAGGGACTGACCTGCGGCTGAGGGACTGACCTGCGGCTGAGGGACTGACCTGCGGCTGAGGGACTGACCTGCGGCTGAGGGACTGACCTGCGGCTGAGGGACTGACCTGCGGCTGAGGGACTGACCTGCGGCTGAGGGACTGCCCTGCGGCTGAGGGACTGACCTGCGGCTGAGGGACTGACCTGCGGCTGAGGGACTGACCTGCGGCTGAGGGACTGACCTGCGGCTGAGGGACTGACCTGCGGCTGAGGGACTGACCTGCGGCTGAGGGACTGACCTGCGGCTGAGGGACTGACCTGCGGCTGAGGGACTGACCTGCGGCTGAGGGACTGACCTGCGGCTGAGGGACTGACCTGCGGCTGAGGGACTGACCTGCGGCTGAGGGACTGACCTGCGGCTGAGGGACTGACCTGCGGCTGAGGGACTGACCTGCGGCTGAGGGACTGACCTGCGGCTGAGGGACTGCCCTGCGGCTGAGGGACTGACCTGCGGCTGAGGGACTGACCTGCGGCTGAGGGACTGCCCTGCGGCTGAGGGACTGACCTGCGGCTGAGGGACTGACCTGCGGCTGAGGGACTGACCTGCGGCTGAGGGACTGACCTGCGGCTGAGGGACTGACCTGCGGCTGAGGGACTGACCTGCGGCTGAGGGACTGCCCTGCGGCTGAGGGACTGACCTGCGGCTGAGGGACTGACCTGCGGCTGAGGGACTGACCTGCGGCTGAGGGACTGACCTGCGGCTGAGGGACTGACCTGCGGCTGAGGGACTGACCTGCGGCTGAGGGACTGACCTGCGGCTGAGGGACTGACCTGCGGCTGAGGGACTGACCTGCGGCTGAGGGACTGACCTGCGGCTGAGGGACTGCCCTGCGGCTGAGGGACTGACCTGCGGCTGAGGGACTGACCTGCGGCTGAGGGACTGACCTGCGGCTGAGGGACTGACCTGCGGCTGAGGGACTGCAGGAAGTTCTGCATGTTGCCGATGAGGAAGGCGAACAAGAAGAGCCCGAGTGCGATGATGAGCAGCATGAACACCACCTCGCCCACCTCCGTGGTTGGCACTAGATTGCCCGCCAGCGTACTGATTTGCTGAGAGAAGGAAGAGAGGGGAGTCAGGGAGGTTGGAGGGGTAAGGGAAGACCAGCTGCTTGGAGCCAAGTGACGAGAGTGAGGAGAGGGGTGTGGGGTTGGGGGTGGGGTTGGGATTGGGCGAGGAGGGTGGGGGTGGGCGAGGGCTTACCTGGAAGCCCCACATGAGGGAGTAGAGCCAGGTGGAGAAGAAGGAGCCGAGCTGCACGACGCGCACGCCCGTGGTGTACATGCCGTAGAAGTCGCTGCTGATGCCACTGCTGCTCAGACACGTGTCGTACATGTCACTGCTGCCCGCCAGCCAGTCGCTGTACCCCGCCGTGCCCTCCCCTGGGCAGCTGAGGAAGGCCTGGTTGCACGGCGGCGAGGAGTCGGGCAGGCAGGAGTTGACGAGGCAGGTGGCGGTGCGCTGCATGGTGAGCAGGTACCACAGCGTGCCGACCACGTTGGAGCCCATGAAGAAGGCGACGAGGTTGAGCAGAAAGGACGCCCAGGCGGTCTCAAAGAGCACGGAGTGGCTGCCCTGGCCCGACAGCATGGGGTACATGCGCGCCAGGCGCGGCACAAACTGCAGCAGCACGCTGATGCGCACCGCCACCTGCCACGTCTGCGACACGTTCACGTCCGGTGAGAGCGGCAGCACCGCCACCGTGATTATCTGGGGGGGTTGGGGGTGGGGGGGGAGAGGAGGGGAGAGGGGTAGCTTGGAAGAGCATGGAAGGAGGGATGGCGAGGAGAGCATGGAAGGAGGGATGTGAACGAGGGCAGAGGGGCACAAGGAGGTGAGGCTTGTGAGAGGCGCGGCTCTAGGGAAAGAGGGACCCATGGATGGGCGGACCTATGGCAGGGCGAAGAGGGCGAGCGATGCAGGTCAGGAGGGGCGGAAGTTGGGCGGAGGTGGGGAGGGGCGGACCTGGGGGAGGGGGATGAGGGCGAGGAGGTCAGCGAGGAAGAGCGTGCGGAGGTAGTTGAAGAGGATGGCGCGGCCGTCCACCACCAGGTCGCCCAGCTTCACGGGGTCGCCACTGGAGTTGCGTATGTTGCCCTCCTTCACATGGTCGTGCGTCGCGTTGAACATCATGCGCGTCTGATGCCCGCCCAGGGGGAGGGGGGAGGTGTTGTGAGCGGGCGAGAGGGGTGAGGAGGGGGGATACGGGGGGGTTCGTTGAGATAGAGCAGCGATGGAAGGAATGTGGCGACGAGGGGAGGAAAGTGGGGAGGGGGGAAGGAAAGTGGGGAGGGGGGAAGGAAAGTGGGGAGGGGGGAAGGAAAGTGGGGAGGGGGGAAGGAAAGTGGGGAGGGGGGAAGGAAAGTGGGGAGGGGGGAAGGAAAGTGGGGAGGGGGGAAGGAAAGTGGGGAGGGGGGAAGGAAAGTGGGGAGGGGGGGAGGAAAGTGGGGAGGGGAATGGGGGCTGAAGGGAGAGGTGATACAGTGGCAGGGAGAGGGGTGCGGCATGAGGGACTGAGCGCACAAGCATGACACGGATAGACGAGAGCCTCAACATGCACGAGCATGTTGCGAGGGACTCACATGCACGAGCATGTTGAGGAGCGTGAGGAAGTCAAGGAAGGTGCGAATGCCGACGAGACAGTAGGCGAAGGTCCACCTCGTGTACACACACATGTTCTCCTGCACACGCCCACGCGCACACACACACACACACACACACACGCACACACACGCACGCACGTGCACACACATGCAGACAAATGATGCTGGCTTTAAAGTAGACGGTGTTCCGCGGAATATACATGATTGGACGAAGGGGAGTGGAATCCAGGGTGGTGGGAACCTGACTGATAGGGAGGCATCTGACTGAGAGAGAGGCAGGTGGGTGAGGGAGAAGGACCTACCTGACTGACGGAGAGACAGGTGGGTGACGGAGGGGCGGGTACCTGGGTGAGTGAGGGGCAGGTACCTGGGTGAGGGAGGGAGGGGCGGATACCAGGGTGAGTGAGGGAGGGGCGGGTACCTGGGAGACGGAGAGGACGAGGAGGAAGAAGGGGTCGAGCAGGAAGGCGGCGAGCATGGAGCCGAACTGCAGCTTCACCCACAGCTTCACGTAGTAGCTGTGCGGATGCAGCAGCGGCGGCGGCCACAGCTCCGCCAGGAACCGCCGCAGCAGGAAGCGCCGCCGCCGCTGCCAGGGGTGCAGAGGGGTGAGGAGGGATGGGATCGTTGGGACCGATGCGAGGGGGAGCGATGGGAATGTGGTGGGCATGGCACGCTGCGGGGCACAGTTTAGCATGGCGTTGTAATGGCAATACAGCATGGCATGGCATGGCGTGGCATGGCGTGGCATGGCGTGGCATGGCGTGGCATGGCGTGGCATGGCGTGGCATGGCGTGGCATGGCATGGCATGGCGTGGCATGGCGTGGCATGGCGTGGCATGGCATGGCAATGCAGCACGGACACCGACAGTGGCATCGTTGAGATTGCTTTTGAGAATTCTCGAAATCGATTTCAACCTCGCTGCGAGTGGGCAGTGCGCGTGTTTCACGTGGATGAATGGGTGCAGCGCGGGTGTGGTGTTTCACGTGGATGAATGGGAGCAGCGCGGGAGTGGGGGCTCACGTAGGTGAATCGGAGGCCGCAGCAGCGCAGTGTGACGAGCAGCTCCTCCTCGCCGTCGCCGTCCTCATCCCCGTCGTCGTCCAGCATCCAGTCCATCGCCGAGTAGTCCTTCGCCACTGGCGTCACCGCCGCGCTGGCCCCGGGCGCGGCGGCGGCCATCATTTTGCGCATGTGGAGGTGCATCTCGGGCGGGCAGCGGTTGCACATGGGGTCCATGCACATGATCACACTCTGCCGCACCATCTTGCGCTGCCGCGCGCCGCCCGGCATGTCCACGTGCACCGCCGACTGCGGCGCTCCCCCCGCGCTGCCTATCTGGATCGTCGCGCGCTGCTGCTTCTGCTGCTGCTGCCGCGCCTTGCGCTCGGCGCGCAGCGCTTCGAGGTCCTTGGCGAGCCGCTCCAGGTCGTCGTCGTCCGCGCCCTCACTCCCGCCCTCGTCGTCCGCCGCCGCCCCTCCGCGCGCGGTGTCCGCCTTGTCCTTGAGCTCGCGCTCCGCCTCTTTGATGTCTTTCAGCGACCGCCGCACCGTCTGCCACTTGCTCCGCCCCGACCCCAATCTCCCCACACCGCCCTCCCCTTGCACTCCGCCTTCCTCCCCCGGTTTCTTCTGCCCGCCCGTCAGCGCCCCCCCGTCGTCAGGCTGCGCGTCGACGCCGGCGCTCGCCCTCGGTAAGCTGTTGCTGCCGTCGGCTCTCGGCGAGGGGACGTCGCGATCGTTGTCGAAGCGCACCCCCGCGCCTAGCGGCTTGCGCCGGGGGTACATGGCGGACATGGGGCGCAGCGCGGACGTTACCCGGTTCAACGGCCCGCTGCGTTGCTTCGCTTTGCCGCCGGTGCTGACGGACGGCGGAAGGCGCTGCTCCGCCGCCTGGCGTTGCGCTTCCGCCGCCTCCCCCTCATTCGACCGCGGCCCGCGATCGCTCTCCCCTCGCGGCAGCCTTGCGGTTGCCGGCGCAGAGGCGGACGGAATGGCGGCAGCGCCCGGCGGGTGTGGGTGTGGCCGGCGAGGGGACGGCGGTTGAGCGGAGTCGGTCGCTGAAGGCGGAGTGGTAAGGGACGGTACAGAGGGTTGGGATGCTGGCGGCTGCGACTCCGATGGCTGCGACGTGGACGGCAGCAGCGACTCGACGTCCGGCGATTCCTTCCATCCCTCGTACTCCGTCAGCAGCGACATCCTCGGCTCGTGGCCCCGCCTCGTGCTACCTAGAACAAGTTGCTGCGCTTAACTAACGTGCATGACGGGTAACGAACGCAGGAAGAAAGCAATCAGCAGGGGCTGCGGAGGTCTGCGGCACGACAGTCTAGAGGGTAATAGGGTGCTTCTGTGGGTGTGGTTGCAGCAATGCGGAAGTGACACGTTAGTCGGGAGGTAGGAAAAATGTACTGCTTTAGTTTGAGGAGATATGATATGCAGGGATGAGGGCCGTCCAGCCTTGACCTAAGCTGTTGTTCGGTGAGGGCCGTCCGTGCTTATGCTCCTCCGCTCACCCTCCCCAACAAACAAGCCTGCACGAATGCGGTAAGCGAAGCGAGAGGAGTGAGAGGCATAGGAAGGGCAACACTACACACCCATCCAAGCGCTGGGCAATTGACAAAAAATCTTTGGCGGGAACGAGCCGTACAAAAAGATAAGATCAGTGGTGGGTGTCAAGCATAAATGTGATAAAATGAAAGCTCTAGAAAACAAAGGGTAAAACGAACTGCTTAGCAGAAACGTGGGAGACAACGAGCTTGCTGCGTGAGATCCAACGTTCAATGCAGGTGGCTGCGATTCGAGGCGGGCAATTGGGGTTTCGCCTTGAAACCTGGAAACCAGAACTTCGTTAATGGACACTTCGATACACGGGATATAGTTTTTGGTGAATGATATTCCACTTAGGAAGTGCATACATTCTCAGTAGTAACTGATTGTCCGGAGAGGTCCTACCCTGGTTATATAGCTTTGTACTACTACCGGGGTCTTTCCTCCGTGGGGCCTTTGAAAAGGCTGTCTGATCGTTTATAAGGAGAGAAACCCATCGCTCCACGTGGCCTTTTCCCCTAGCTCGCTGTGTAACGCCACCGCCGCTCGTTCATCATCCTTCAGGTCCCGAAACGTGAATTCTATCACTTTGATTCAACAGAGGTTCCATATGAAGTTTCCGATCAGGCCAAACATTTCTGATCGACCTTTTTGCCAACTCTTTGTTTTATAATAGAGTAAATTCCCCTGTTACGAACTGCCAGTTCTTGAACCAAACGCGGAAGGATCAGCACATGTGCAGGAAGTGCAACGGGCGCTCTTCATTCACGAGCGCCGATGACCGATAATGCTCGCAACCCTCCCACGCCCTTGCTGGCTTGGTAATAGACCCAGAAAAGCGCATCCACGTGACCCAGCGAAAGAAAAACGCTCGGAAAGAGCGCTTCCAGCACCAAAATGCAGAAGGATGACCACATGTGCAGGAAGTGCAGCGAGCGCTCTTCATTCGCGAGCACCGATGACCGATGATGCTCGCTATCCTCCCATGCCCTTGCTGGCTTTGAAATGGGACCAGACAAGCGCAGCCACGTGACCCGGCGGAAGACAAGCGCTTGGAACGAGCGCTTCCACCCCAAAAACGCGGAAGGATCCGCACATTTGTTGGAAGTGTTGCGAGCGCTCTTCATTCGCGAGTGACGATGACCGATGATGCTCGCAACCCTTCCACGCCCTTGCTGGCTTGGTAGTAGGCCCAGACAAGCGCAGCCATGTGACTTGGCGGAAGAAAACGCTCGGAACGGACGCTTCCACCCCCAAAACGCGGAAGGATCCGCACATGTGGAGGAAGTGCAGCGGGCGCTCTTCATTCGCGAGCGCCAATGACCGATGATGCTCGCAACCCTCCCATGCCCTTGCTGGCTTGGTAATAGGCCCAGACAAGCGCAGCCACGTGACCCGGCGGAAGAAAAACGCTCGGAACGAGCGCTTCCACCCCCAAAACGCGGAAGGATCCGCACATGTGCAGAAAGTGCAGCGGGCGCTCTTCATTCGCGAGCGCCGATGACCGATGATGCTCACAACCCTCCCACGCCCTTGCTGGCTTGGCAATAGGCCCAGACAAGCACAGCCACGTGACCCGGCGGAAGAAAAATGCTCGAAACGAGCGCTTCCAGCCCCGAAACGCGGAAGGATTCTCATATGTGCAGGAAGTGCAGCGGTACTCTTCGTTCGCGAGCGCCGATGACCGATGATGCTCGCAACCCTCCCACGCCCTTGCTGGCTTGGTAATAGGCCCAGACAAGCGCAGCCACGTGACCCGGTGGAAGAAAAACAGAAGCGAAGAAAAGTTTGGCGAAGAAAAGTTCGGCGCCTACGATTTCGACCGTTTTTGCCGCCAAGTGCCTAGAAAGCGCGTAAGTCCTTATAGGCGTAAGGAAAAGCACTCAAGAACCTGAATTTTATTGCATGTTTGAGTGGCCATGGTCAAATACACCTATTGGACCCTTTTTGGCCAGGTGCCTAGAAAGCGCATGAATCCCTATAGGCGTAGGGAAAAGCATTCAATAACCTGAATTTCCATGCATATTCGAGTGGCCAATATTCAAATACACATACCAGAGCCTTTTTGGCTTGGTTCTTGCGCGAAGAAAAGTTCGGCGCCTACGATTTCGGCCGTTTTTGCCGCCAAGTGCCTAGAAAGTGCGTGAATTCCTATAGACGTAGGGAAAAGCATTCAACAACCTAAATTTTATTGCATATTCGAGTGGCCCATATTCAAATACACATACTAGAGCCTTTTCGGCTTGGTTCTTGCGCGAAAAAAAGTTCGGCGCCTACGATTTCGGCCGTTTTTGCCGCCAAGTGCTTAGAAAGCGCGTGAATCCCTATAGGCGTAGAGAAAAGCATTCAACAACCTGAATTTTAATGCATATTCGAGTGGCCCATGTTCAAATACACATATTAGAGCCTTTTCGGCTTGGTTCTTGCGTGAGGAAAAGTTCGGCGCCTACGATTTCGACCGTTTTTGCCGCAAATGCCTAGAAAAAGCGTGATCCCTATAGGCGTAGGGAAAAGCATTCAACAACCTGAATTTGATTGTATATTCGAGTGGCCCATATTCAAATACACATACTAGAGCCTTTTCGGCTTGGTTCTTGCGCGAAGAAAAGTTTGGCGCCTACGATTTTGGCCGTTTTTGCCGCCAAGTGCTTAGAAAGCGCGTGAATCCCTATAGGCGTAGGGAAAAGCATTCAACAACCTGTTTTTTCTTGCATATTCAAGTGGCCCATATTCAAATACACATAACAGAGCATTTTCGGCTTGGTTCTTGCGCGAAGAAAAGTTCGGCGCCTACGATTTTGGCCGTTTTTGCCGCCAAGTGCCTAGAAAGCGCGTGAATCCCTATAGGCGTAGGGAAAAGCATTCAACAACCTGAAATTTATTGCATATTCGAATGGCCCATGTTCAAATACACATACTAGAGCATTTTCGGCCTGGTTCTTACGCGAAGAAAAGTTCGGCGCCTACGATTTCGGCCGTTTTTGCCGCCAAGTGCCTAGAAAGCGCGTGAATCCCTATAGGCGTAGGGAAAAGCGTTCAACAACCTGAATTTTCTTGCCTATTCGAGTGGCCCATGTTCAAATACACATATTAGAGCCCTTTCGGCTTGGTTCTTGCGTGAGGAAAAGTTCGGCGCCTACGATTTCGACCGTTTTTGCCGCCAAATGCCTAGAAAAAGCGTGATCCCTATAGGCGTAGGGAAAAGCATTCAACAACCTAAATTTGATTGTATATTCGAGTGGCCCATATTCAAATACACATACTAGAGCCTTTTCGGCTTGGTTCTTGCGCGAAGAAAAGTTTGGCGCCTACGATTTTGGCCGTTTTTGCCGCCAAGTGCTTAGAAAGCGCGTGAATCCCTATAGGCGTAGGGAAAAGCATTCAACAACTTGTTTTTTCTTGCATATTCAAGTGGCCCATATTCAAATACACATACCAGAGCCTTTTCGGCTTGGTTCTTGCGCGAAGAAAAGTTCGGCGCCTACGATTTTGGCCGTTTTTGCCGCCAAGTGCCTAGAAAGCGCGTGAATCCCTATAGGTGTAGGGAAAAGCATTCAACAACCTGAATTTTATTGCATATTCGAGTGGCCCATGTTCAAATACACATATTAGAGCCTCTTCGGCTTGGTTCTTGCGTGAGGAAAAGTTCGGCGCCTACGATTTCGACCGTTTTTGCCGCCAAATGCCTAGAAAAAGCGTGATCCCTATAGGCGTAGGGAAAAGCATTCAACAACCTGAACTTGATTGTATATTCGAGTGGCCCATATTCAAATAAGCATACTAGAGCCTTTTCGGCTTGGTTCTTGCGCGAAGAAAAGTTTGGCGCCTACGATCTTGGCCGTTTCTGCCGCCAAGTGCCTAGAAAGCGCGTGGATCCCTATAGGCGTAGGGATAAGCATTCAACAACCTGTTTTTTCTTGCATATTCAAGTGGCCCATATTCAAATACACATAAAAAAGCCTTTTCGGCTTGGTTCTTGCGCGAAGAAAAGTTCGGCGCCTACGATTTTGGCCGTTTTTGCCGCCAAGTGCCTAGAAAGCGCGTGAATCCCTATAGGCGTAGGGAAAAGCATTCAACAACCTGAAATTTATTGCATATTCGAATGGCCCATGTTCAAATACACATACTAGAGCATTTTCGGCCTGGTTCTTACGCGAAGAAAAGTTCGGCGCCTACGATTTCGGCCGTAATTGCCGCCAAGTGCTTAGAAAGCGCGTGATCCCCTATAGGCGTAGGGAAAAGCATTCAAC